CAACAACCAATTCATCAAGATCAAAAACAAGCAGATCAGATGATGAGATTGGATGGAAATATAATAAGTTGCAAGATCCTAATAATTCAAGTCGGGTGGTCTGTAACTTTTGTAATAAAGTTACCACTGGTGGTATTACCAGAGCTAAAAGGCATCAAATAGGAATCAAAGGAGATGTGGCTCCATGTCCTAAATGCCCACCAGCAGTTAGGGAAGAGTTGTGGGCCAATTTACAACAGAAAACCACAACTAACAAGTTATAAAATGAGATGTTTATGTCTAGTTGTGGTATTGTTGATCTTGAAAAGGAAGATGAAGAGGAAGAACTTATGCCAAGGGAATCAACCTTAACTATTGGTGGCAGAAGTAAAAAGGCCAAAATTGGGCAACACAAAGGCCCCATAGATTTGTACATGTACCAAAAACCTGAGGAAACTCTCAAAAAGAGAAAGCTTGAAAAATGTAGGCAATCTTCTATAAAAGATTCTAACAAGGAGTTAAGGGCTGAAACAATTCAATACATTGCTCGGTTCTTCTACCAAAATGGCATCTCTTTCAATGTAGCTCGTTCAGAAAGTTTCAAGTTAATGGTAGAAGCAATTGAACAATATGGAAAAAATCTCAAGCCTCCTAATTACCATGAATTGAGGGTTTCATGCTTAAATAAGGAGTTGGAATACACTAAAAAATTAATGGAGTATCATAAGAAACAATGGCCAAGATATGGGGTCACTATTATGTCCGATGGATGGACGGATAAGAGGCAGAGGAGTATAATCAATTTTTTGGTTAATTCTCCTGCTGGTACAATGTTTGTAAAATCTATTGATGCTTCTGCTTTTCTCAAAAGTGGGGAAAAGCTGTTTGAGTTGATTGATAGTGTTGTGGAGGAGATTGGGGAAAAACATGTAGTTCAACTTGTAACAGATAATGGGAGCAATTATGTTCTAGCTGGTAAGTATAGTTATTTTATTGTATTTGTTATTTATTTAACTTTAAATTTAATTTATTAATGCATTTTGTTTTATTTCTCTTAGGTAAATTATTGGAAGAGAAGAGAAAGCACATATTTTGGACTCCATGTGCAGCGCATTGTATTGATCTTATACTAGAGGACGTTAGAAAGATTTCAAAGGTTAAGAAGACAATACAAAGAGCAATGAGTCTTGTTGGGTTCATCTACAACCATTCAAGCACCTTAAACTTAATGAGGCGATTCACTAACAAGACGGAGTTGGTTCGATATGGAGTGACAAGGTTTGCTACGAATTTTCTTTCATTGCAAAGTGTGTACAAGCAAAAGGCCAGCCTTCGAAAGATGTTTACATCTGATGAATGGACAAGTAGTAAGTTGGCCAGAGATGCCAAAGGAGTAAAGGCAGTAAGTACAGTAATGGCTGCTTCATTTTG